TATATATATATATATATATAGAATAAGTTAACAACTATTTGAAAATTTTGACAGTCCTCAGTGGTTATGTCCATCTTTTATATACAGGCTATGGCTAAAGGTAACAAAACGGCAGCTATAGCTCAAATAGAAAACCAGTGAGTATGAGTCACAGACCACTGGGAGGCTGTAACTGGAATTGAGGGTTAAACAGCATCCAGTTTAAAACCAGTCAGAGGCAGATGGCCTCGTGGCTGTACTTGTTGATCTCTGAGGGAATTAATTCAGATCAGTGCTGCGAGGCTTATTACATAATCAACAGTTGGCACTTCAGAGCGCTCGTCTCTAGCAGCTTGCAAGTTATTCCGCGAACAGAAACGCACCTCTTCGTCCTCTCCCTCCCTCCCACCCACATTCCCTCTCTCGCTCTCCCTCCTTCCTCCCCCTCCTCATCCTCATCATCCTCCATGCTCTGTGTAGTGACAGGATTTGTGTCGGTGCAGATCGGCTGTGTTTGCGGCTGACGTGAGGAGTTCCCGGCTGAAGCTCCTGCGCACACACACACGCACACACATATATTTTCTGATCCTCAGAGGTTCCCCGCAATCTGCCAGATTAAACCAGCCTGCGGTTCTCCGGATGAGACGGGACCACCTTTTGGGCTCCTGCGTCCTCCTGTGAGAGACGTCGGGAGCCTCGGCATCAGCTCCTCCGTCCTCTTATGTATCCACATGAACCCCCGAATGAGCGCAGTTTCTCCTCATAAATGACCGAGCTCCGACCTTCCACCTGCTGCGGAGAAATTTCCGACATTTAACCAGAAACCGCAAGACACGGAGACTACCTGTTAGCTTCTCCCACCCCCTCCGCCTTCTTCTGCTCCTCCGGGCTCTGCTCTGCGCTTTTCCGTGCCCTCGGTGAGAGAGCAGAGGCTGGGATTTAGGCTGCACACCTACTGACCTACTTCGCGCAAGTTGGGAGTCCGACCAGTGCGGTCTGGCAAAACTGTGCCCTCCACAGCAGCACCACCAGCAGCAGCAGAAGATGACGGGTGATGTGGAAACAGTGGTGACCCCGTGGCGAGACCTTCAGTAAATAAGCAGCAGGGGGAGGTGGGGTAAAGGAGGTGAGAAGGTGAGGAAGAGAAGAAGGCGTGCAGAAGGAGCCAGAGGTGGTGGTGGTGTGTGCGTATTTGTGCGTGGAGACACAGGAGGAGGTTATGACCGTGTCTCTTCACCTGGATCTCGGGCTGATGCTGCTGCTCCTGTTGGCCTGCTGGCAGACCCCGGGGATGGTTGGAGGAAGTGAGTGTCCCGTTTTCCTTCTCTGTGTCTCATATTTAATCTAAATATAAGAAACTTTAGGAAGCAGTGACAGGATTGGCACAAACAGCTGGCATAACTCGCATAATTATGACATTTTGCGGCATGATGGGACACAGGTGTTTGAACACATGGCTACCACGCTGTTTCTCTCCATTTAAGCTAATTTGAAGCAGCGTTGTCTTTTTTAATCAAGCTGCGTTCAAAACTCCATTGGAAAAACATCGAATTTTTAAAAAGCCTAATGTCCTTGTTATATCTGAGCAAGGACAAGAGCCTCGTTTTGCTTTGGCTCTCGAAATACCTCTGTCTGACTGATAAGAAGTAAGAAGTGGAATGGTGATTTAAATGCAGTGTTAAAAAACATAAAAAACCTTACATATATATATGTATATATATATATATGTGTGTGTGTGTGTGTGTGTGTGTGTGTGTGTGTGTGTTAATCGTGATAAAAGAAGAAATAGGAAGAGAATGAGTCCAGTGAGCAGGGACTAGGTCTGCATTTTGCACAAAAAGCTTTTATTTTTCTTTATTTTCATTCTTTTGTATGATCTTCAAGCAATCATGAAAAGGCGATACTGTTCACGTGGTGTTCTGCACAGGAAATGGACAGCTGAAAGCCCACACATCATAATTTTTAAGCTGCAAAAGTTTGCAAAGATGCCAAACACAAATAACAACCATCAGTGTAAATACCATGTGGGACAAAAGAGGGAAAACCTGGATGTTAGCCTGTAAAAACTGGCAATATATGCAGTAATAATAAGCTGTTGGCCCTGAAAGATGATCAATATTTCGTTATCATCTACAGCTTTAAGTACGTGACAGCAGTGCGACTCTACATTGACATACTGCTTTGTGTGTCCACCTGTTTGATTTGAGGTGAGTGGAGCGTTTGCTGCGCTCTGTTTACGCCTCATATTTCAACTAGACTAACAGCTGTTGTAAAAGTGTCCCAACCTTAATTGAATGCATATCAGGGGATTAGAATTTCAAAGCAATCTCTCTCTCTCTCACTCCTCCTTTGCTCTGTTTAATTAGCTGTTGCAGGAATGCACCTAAATCACCCAGACCACTGGTCACATCCCCCTCCTCTGCGCCTTCCCATGAGGTTTAATCCAAAGTAGCCTTTGGCAAATAGCACCAAATTAACATGTTTCTTTTTGGATGAATACCAAAGAGCAGCTAATCTGCACTTACAAGGTTCTGTATAGATTTATCCAATGAGCTGCTGTGTCTTTATATCCCCCCACACGGCCTTTACCTGCTCAGCTCACGTCACAGACGTCATGTCTTTATGGGAGCTCATCAACCACGCTTCGTTTTCCTGCTCTCTGCCACCCATTAATTTTAAATGCAGATTTTCAGTCATGACAAACAGCTGCGGGAGGAAGCCTTTTTTCCCCTCCTTCACCATAAATCACAGACAGCGGCACTTCAGGAAGCGACCGGCGTCTTATTTTAAAAAGATTGATTCATGACTTTGAAGCAGCAGGTAAATTACACCTGGTTATAGCTTTGTGTAAAAATATTTGTTCTATGTTTTATGAGATTGAAAATTGTGCTTTTTCAACAAAAGGCTTTGGCTAGCAGAACAATCTGTGTTCAGTGTGAGTTACATTCTTAACAATGCATTACCCGCACACGGGGGACTATAATAAATAAGTTGCTTTATCCTTTATGATTATGTATGTTCTTGTTTTATAAGTATCTTCCTTTGCATACCTTATATACTCACAAATTCCATAAAAAGAGGTGGATGTTAGCTTATCCCAGACTCTGAGCAGGATTATAAGCAATGTTAACTGGCTGAAGAGTCTTCAGTCAAATAAAAAAGATTTTAACACTGAAACAAATGAAATTTGTTCACTGGGTGTTAAACTAGGGACCAACCTGAATCAGAAAATTAAAATTCCAACATGTGCAAATCTAAAATCTTTGCTCAACAGGCATGATCAGTCATTTTTGATCTAATTTATGTCTTTGTTTGAAAGTAAAAATGAAAAAAATGCATCCCGGGGATTAGCTCTGCCAGGACGGCCTCATATTAGCTATTTGCTGATATATGAGTATTAGCCGATAGTAAAAATCTAAAAAGCAAATGATGTTGAATAGTTGCACAAAACGCATGTTTGGAAGACCATAAATGAGAACCAGCTGCCAACTTGAGCAGTTTCGGGCATAAACATGTAATCAACCACTGTTTGGGTCAGTAAAACAATTATATCATATTCGTGTTACGACATGTAATTAAGAACTCATAAATAACTACACATATCAAAAAAATTATTAGCTAAAGTATCGGTATTACGCTCAGTATTGGTATAAGGATCAATATCAGTATTAGGTATTGGTATCTGTATCTGTCTTAACTTTTCTATGTATGTTGGGCCCTACAGGGGATTATGTGGAATGAGTTACATTACCCACAGTTAATATTTTGTTGTGGTGCCGTCATGTTGTCATCCTGACCACAGATTGAAGATGGACGTAGTCACTGCTACATCTCCCGACAGTTAGTGAAGTCCTGTTATGAAGCCACACACTGCTCAGCTAATGACTTGTGCCTGACAAGTCATTTAACATGTGACAAGTCTTCATTTGAGCATGACCATCTCTTTTTGCTTTGTATGATTCTGGTCTGAAATGCTGATTTATCAGCTGCATCTCCTGATTTCAGGAATCTGCTCTCTGGTGTTGCTGCTCTAACACAGAGAGATAAAGGTCTTATTTTAGAGACCTACCGAGTCTGCCTCAGGAGGCTGCAGGTTTCTCAGCTAGGAGACAGTGCATCGTGTGTTTTCCTTTTGGCTTATTTTGTTCTTCACATGCGTATTTGTTTTGTTGTTGTTCTGTTGTTTTGTTTTTTCACTTTTAACTTTTGCTTTCAGTAGTTAGGATTAGGCACTAAAAAATGACTCGGTTAGGTTTAGGAATATTGGCAAATGATGAGTTGGGAGTGCCAGATCTTTTTGCTCGATGCCACAACCCTGTCTGTCTGGGTGCACGCTCGAAAGGACACCTCATGCATGAACCTGGATGCCTGTGGTTCTGACAAAATAACGATATGCTTAGCCATAGGGGCATATTTGCATCACTGCAATGGATGCTTGACGGCCAGTACTACACAGTGATCTCCTTCTTCTACATGGTTGTATAACCATGCAGAGGAATAGCTTATGTTGATTGTGAGGTCCCAGATTTCAACAAACATTGGAGCTAATTTTCATTTTACGAATTAAGAAGATGCTTCAGCAAAATGTGTTTCTGAAAACCTCTGAGGCAAGAAATACGCATCGCTGAATCAGTCGTCTTTTCATTTTAGCCAATTTCTTGCTTCAGTTGTCAACCTTCAAATAATATCCCACATCTAGAATGACAGACTAAATTACAATATCTTATCTAAATAAGTCTTATTTATTAAGGAAACTGAGAAAACAGTTACAGGTCAAAGAGTGTTTAGTCTAAACTAATTTGGATATTAAGAGTAAATATGGGTGATGTGCAAGGTCAGTCTACTTACATTTTTTTTCAAAAATGAAAATTTAAACACGTGCAGGTTTGTGTCCTTTACTTAAGCTGCACATGCACATGCTCAGCTGATATTTTGAATAGTTTGGGGTGACATTTTAGTCTTTGTACCAGCAGAGAATTCAGCAGAGGCCACTTTGTTGCTTTATTTGGCATGCACTCAGTGTCTAGTTCTGATTGGCACTACTTCAATATGAGTTTGTTATTGCATCTGTACTCTACAGTGATTACAAGCTAGGATTTCTAACAGAGGAAGGAGAGTATTAGCCACACTTTTTAATATAAGGGAGTCCACTGTGACACCACCAACAGCTCTGACCTTCATTATAAACTTATATTTAAAAGGTGTGTGTGTGCGCTCTGTAAAGGAGTCGATATATTTGAGCTTTCTTTATCGCGTGGCAAAGCTCTTGCCAGCTTACGTGGGATATGGCTAAAAAGTCTAGCCAAGTAACTGGACCTCGCACGACAATATTTTTAGTCCGTATGCTGTCAAAGCCAAGAATAAATTCCCAAGATTTATTTGCAGTTGTGTTTCTCTCTGTTGCATCTCACCGCTCCCTGATGAAAACCTCGGGAGTGAGACGAAAGCTGTCCTACACAGGTCTTCAGAAAGGAGAACAAAGGAGAAAGATGAGCATAGAGCTTGTAGGGGGATCATAAAAATGCACCAACTGCAGACACAGGAGGTATTTATTTTAAAAGGAGCAGGGTAAAGTGCTGTTTTATTCCAGCAGCGAAGCCTCTCTTTATACTCAGCTCAGCCTCACATAACTGCCTCAGCTCAGTGCTGACTGTCCTTATCTTTCCATGGCAACCTGATGATTTAAATGAAAATTCACACAGGATTACCAGAATTAGACAATGTAACACTAGAAAAATGTTGCTTGGTCTGATGAGTCTCAGTTTCTGCTGCGACAGTCAGATGGTAAGGTCAGAATTTGGTATAAACAAGGTTTATACAAGGCAGGATGGATCCATGCTTTCAAAATTCAGGCTGCTAGTGGTGGTGGTGTTATGGTGTGGGGGATATTACTAAGACTCGTTGCCAACCATGTCCACCCCTTTACAGTTTACAGTTGCTAGGCCAGCAAACGTAAATTGCCATTCTCATGAAAGGATTCCTAATAGGACATGCAGGGCACACACCCAGGGGTAAGGAGGACTCGTAGTGTCAGCCGCTAGGGTTCATTTAATCTTTCATAATCACGAAGAAACAAAAAATGTATGAAAGCAACAAGCATAGCTCTGCCACGTAGATAGAGAAACAAAATGATAACAAAAACTATCACAAGAGTAGTGCACCTGGTCACATCCAGACATCCAGTGAATGACATTTACACAAATAGTAACAAAAAAGTCACTATTTTAAAAAATTTCCCCAAAGGCGACAATATAAAAGTTACACTAAACAGGAAAGTAATGCAAGAATATAATGGAAAGCACAA